ATTTTCAATCTATAATAACCTGGACTAAATATTTCCATTCCAAAAATGGGGAATTGGGGCATAAAAAGGAGGGCTAGGACCAAAGCAAGACAAAATCTGGCAGGTAAAATTCTAAATTCTGTAACAAAATCCAGCAGGTAAACATTAAATTCTGTAGCACTGCGTCCAGCACCAGAAGCACACATTGACATGTGGGCAGCCCTGTTCCGAAACCCTTACTAGTGTAGCTCATATGTCCTGTCTTTGGGATTGGCTCCACTGCCAGAAAGTCACTTGGACTGCTGCTTTGGGCCTGAGGTAGGGCAAAATTAATGGTGGTAGCTTCTGGCAGTCTGACCGCCTCATAGCTGCCAGGGAGACAGAACAGGAAGCTGGGAGAATATGTGTCTTTCTAGGGCCCTCCTCAGTGATCTACTTCCTCCAACGAGATGCCACTTCCTACTTTTCACTACCTCCCAATAATGCCAAAACATTGTGAATTTTTCAAGGGGGGAATCTATTGATTAGGCCAGGTCCTCCAGGATCTAAGTGTTTCCTATAAGCCTATCAACAATACCAGACATGAATTTCCTCGTGTAGAGCATGCTTCAAATCCAATCCAAACATGGCTGATTTCTTCCATAGCAGACTTCCCTATTGTACCAGTGAGGACATTTTTCCTGGCCATTCTTAGTATAGCACAGCATCCACAACAGTCCCAGCATCCTACATAGCACCTTCTAACACTGCAAAGACCTCAGCAGGGAAGAAGCTTCCATCTTAGCTCCAGCCTGATTCTCCGTCCTGCAAACCAGAGTATGCTACCTTCAGCAATAAGGTCTTACCATTTAGTTTGAGGGGATATCCATAGCAATGAAAAGGGCCTGTGTTGTTTAAGGGGCCCCAGGAACTTCCCTAACAACTCACAGGGAAGTGCTCGCTAGGATTTTTCATTTAATAACCTGTGACTTCTGGGAACAGCTTCATCCACCCATAAAGGGTACCACTGTAGAACAAATATTTTATTACAACCTAGAGTTATGTAGATGAATCCTTATGAACTTTTGGGGTTTTCTTCTAGCTTTTTACTTACATATGCCATATGCATCATTTGGAGGCAACAGTAGATGTTGACATTTCTGGCATCTTTGTCATCACTGGGATTCATAGATAATTTTCATAATATGTTTAATGGAAGCATCTTGAAGTATCATTTAATTTCATTATTACTTTAAAATCACATATCTATTCAATAAAAATAAATAAAAATAAATTAATTGATTTTTTAAAAATTGCATATATAGTAGAGCTGCAGTTTATTATTGTCATTCACAGCATTCCCAAAGAGGTGCATTTTGGATCACAATGTATCAAAAGTTCCCTAACTATGCTAATAATTGTATTTTTCTATAAGTGGAGTTCTCTGTGGCTATATGTATTTTATTTATGGTTTGTTTTTTTTAAAAGAAGGATATATATTCGATGGAACTACAAGGAAAGACTGGCTCATAATAGAAAAGTTTGAAGCCATGGACTCTGTGGGTATTTCCCAAGATCTTTTAAAATCCCATCCTTCAGCTATGAAGGTTATCTAAAATGATCTTTGAGGGAGTGAATGATGCTGATGACTTTCTCTTTCCTGACAGTGATGTCAAAATAATGTGACACTCTTTTTTTTAATGGAAGATTAAGAGTGACTTGCACATATATTGCCAAAATTAATTACAAAGGCTTCTACAGCTAAAGATGAATTAAAAGTAATGTGACTTAGATATATAGAGGACCCATTTGGTGTTTCCTGAGCAATGTAGCTGCTATGAATTGCTTGGCAATGTGTGTGTACTATTGAAAATACTTGGAACATTACAATTTGGAACAAGGATACTTTTTTGGTGCTGCAAAACACTTGAGTTGGTCATAATATTTACTTTCTGCTTTTCTTTTTTATATTTTATTTATATTTTTATTTTATGTGTCTGAATGTATTGCCTGCATGTGTGTATGTACACCTGTGTCATACAATACCTGTGGAGGTCAGAAGAAGGTGTCAGATCCCCTGGAACTGGAGTTACAGACAGTTGTTAGTACCATTTGGGTGCTGGGAATCGAACCCAGGACCTCTGCAGGAGCAGTCAGTGCTCTTAACTGTGAGCCATCTCTCCAGCCTCTTCACTTACTGCTTTTCTAATTGCATATAAAGAATTATTCTTGGATGTTGTTTGCAGATCATTTTTGAGATTTGTTAGGTTTTTATAATTGGTACATTTTTAATCTTTTATTATTTTATTCCTCTCACTTTTTCCTTACTGATAAGATTTTTAGCCACTAGAAGTAAGAGTACATGGTAATAGAAGACATCAGTGGCCTTTGTCCATTGTAAAAAATTCTCTCAAAATTTTTGAGAGTGATGGATGACATAAATATTTAGATTCCTTTTTTAAATTTAGTCTGTTCTTATCTACTGTTGTTTGCTCTATTCAAGACTGTTTTGTTCTACTCTGATCTAGTCTTAAATAACAGGATAGTAAATCTGAAGTTTAAAACAAGGCTCCAAGATGATAATGAAAGTCAGAGAACAAACCAAGCTATGAGTCAGCAATGTCAAAGAAAATTCAAAACCCAGTTATAAAATACTTGAAACCCTCAGTTCAAATAAATGAAACATTAAGTTACTCAACATAGGGAAACGATTTATGAAGATTGCATTTTAAGCAGTTCCTACAATGGGAGAAGATGTAGAATTGCTTCCTTCTCCCCAAACCAAGGGAAGAGAATTTTACCAGTCCTATTAGATAGCTTGAAGCTAAGGGCACATTGGGAATGAAATCTAATTCCCACTTGTTAGGACTGAAGATTTATATGATGACAGATGAGGACACAGAATGAAGGCCGTGCCAGTTTCAAACGTTCTCAAGTACCTTATGGGAACAAAATGTGTCCACTCATATTTGAATGGGACTTCAGTAGACAATCTGGAAATGTACCAGCAAGTTTCCAGGGGCTGTGGACACTGTAGAGCAGCTAGAAGCTCTTGTGCTGGCTAGACATCTCCAGCATGCTCTTTAGTGAGAAGTATCTGAACAGGTCCTCAATGTACTCACAGAAAAAAAAGGGTCAGATCTTGGGGCTGGAGAAATGGCTCAGTGGTTAAGAGCACTGGCTCCTCTTACAGAGGAACCAGATTCAATTTCTAGTACCCACATGGTGGCTAACAACCATCTGTAACTCCAGTTCCAGGGGAATCCAACATCTTCTTCTGACCTCTGTGGGCACCGCACAACACTGGTGTGCTTATACACATGCAGGCAACACACTCATACACATAAAAATTTTTTAAAACTTTTTAAAAAAGGTCATTTCTATAGACCTGCCATGCCAAGGGAATGCAAAGCTGAGTTGCATGACGCTGACCAAGAGGACACTTGGGTCTCCCTCTTAGTAATTGTCTAGCATCTAGGATGCCTTGATCTCTATCCCCACCCCCATAATATCAAAGATGCATTGGCTCTACCCTCCCCACCACACATGTACAAACTACTTCTAGGTTCTAGAACAAACACAAGGTTGTAAAATGGCTACCTGACATTCTTATCCAAGTACAGTTGTTTCCCCCTTTGGATACATTTTACAAACAATGGGAGAGAACCTGCATTAGCTTTGTGGGTACTCTCTGTAAGTTCTATTAATTTAAGCTCTATTTATAACCTCAATAGCAACTGGATGCATCTGAGCTTCTAGAATATATATAGACAAAATTAATCAGTGCACAGTTTCATTGTTAGGGTATCTTCAGTCAAATTCCAGGGAGATGCAACATTCCATCTGATGTGAATACTCCCTAAAATATCAGTATTTTGAGTAATTGACTGAAAAAGTGAGCATTTGTTTATTTTGATGGTTTGAATCTTGTGTAATGAAGATGTTCATCTGATTTATTATTCTACTTTTGGTCTTTAAATTCTTGGGAAGTGTTGGAATAATTTCCATACTACTGCTTTCTTCTTCATCAACATTTCCATATAATTGGAGTGACTCTGTAAGACTGTGAATGTCATTATTTTCTTTCAGTAGATTGTTTAATCTTAAACCATACTAGTCTCTCTTACACATTCTAATTTGTTTTAAATTTCATAGGCCAACAGGGTGTGGAGGCCCACGCCTTTAATCCCCAGAGAATGAGAGGCAAAGCAGGTGCATCTCTATGAGATCAAGGCCAGCCTGGTCTACATAAGGAGTTCCAGACCAACTGGGGCTACAGGGAGACCCTTTCTCAAAACAAAACAATAATAACTGATCAATAGTTAAGGGAAAACGTTAGAGTTTGTTTAAAAGCTAATTCACCTGCCTCTGGTGCATGCCTTTAGTCCCAGCACTCGGGAGGCAGAGGCAGGCATATCTCTGTGAGTTCAAGACCAGCCTGTCTCCATAGTGAGTTCCAGGACAGCTGGGGCTGCAGAGAGACCCTGTCTCAAAAAGGCAAAAAATAAAAAAGCTAATTTCAGGGCTGAGAGAGCACTGGCTGCTCTCACAGAGGACCTGGTTTGAATCCCACATGGTGGCTCACAACTGTCTATAACTCCAGTTCCAGAGATCTGACAATCTCTCTGACCTCCATGGGCATTGAATGACACATGTACACTTACATACACGCAAGCATCACACTCATACACATAAAAATAAAAATAAATATTTTTTTAAAGTTAATTTCAATAAAAGCAATATCCAGGAAAAACAAGCATATGTTCCATGTGTGACTAATAGATGCTTACTTATTTCTTATTTTTTTGTTTCTGTATTCCCAGATTAAATTGCAGCTTCAAAAGTCAAATAATTGTCAGAAGATGTATAGTTATACTCTGTTGATCCACAGACTGAAAAAGAAAATATAGCAATCTTTGGAGAAATGCACTACAAAATCCATTGTAAACTACAGTTGTCAGCATCTTGCAAATTGCATCTCCTGAGCTCATTAGGTTTTGTCAAAGACCAATTTTGTCTACCTGTTTGTTATGTGTTTTTAGGTGAACTTGATCTTCATAAGAACTCAGAAGACCTAGGAAATGCTGAAGAGAAGCATGCTGACACACATCCATAGGTCTGAACAACCTTTAAGAGTTCTGTCATTTTAAACATGAGAGGTAATTTGAGTTTTTAGACAAGAAAATTAATTTCTAAACTCAATGGGTTATAGAATATCCTTAGAGACCAAGGTGCCTCATTCAAAAGCTGTCCTACATTCTTTTTAAAGATACACTTCTTCAATTAGCTAAGGCAGCAACTTAATGGGTAAAATTTAAATGTTATCAATATGTTTTATTTACTGAGACTAAAATTTTGATCCTTTAAAGATGATAAGCTTTTTTCTATGTCTATTTCTTTTTCTACTTCACATAGACAATAAAAATTTTTATGGTAATTTCTATTTTTATTTTATGTAGGAAATGTAAATATTTATAATGATAAAACAAGCAAGTTCATACTATGAAGCAAACATCATGTTTGCTAAAAAGCTGTGGACAATAGTGATATTTGTTTTAAAACGTGACTTCTAGGATTTGCCTTCAGTCTGCCAGATTGGTAACTCTGGAAGTGATGCTTTGGAAATCTGACTTTTAGTGCACTAATATATTAATATTTCTGTGCACTACAACTGAAAACCATTGTCCTAGGAAAACAGAGGAAGAAGCAGCTGGAAAAGAGGAATGTGTATAAAGTGGGGATGTCATAAGGTTTCAAAGAATGCACAAGGTGCTGGAGAAATGGCTCAGTGGTTGAGAGCACTGGCTGTTCTTGCAGAGGACCTGGGTTCAATTCCCAGCACCCATGTGGCAGCTAACTCCAGTTCCAGGGAATACAACACCTTTTCCTGACCTCCACCGGCACTGCACAACACAGGTGCACTAACACACATGCAAGCAATACATTCATAAAATAAAATAAAATAATAAATAAATAAAACTATTTTTAAAAATGCACATAAAACAAAGCGCAAATGTTATAAGGGATCTTGCTGTTGGGGTAGCAATGGGAACAAGAGAAAATGCTGAAGGTGTCACATGACATTGCTGAAATGTTATCAGCTCTTTAGTTGCTACTTTGGACATGAAAATGTTAAGAATGTGATTCCACAGCTGGGTGTGGTGTCGCACACCTTTGACCCCAGTACTCCAGAGGCGGAGGGAGGCGGATCTCTGTGAGTTCCAGGCCAGCCTGGTCTACAGGGTGAGTTCCAGGCCAGTTGAGGCTACAGGGAAACCCTGTCTCAAAAAGACCAAAAAAAAATGTGATTCCACTTGTAAGGTAATTCTTCAGTATTCTTGAGTTGCAAGGACTCTCGTTGGTGAACATCTGTGTGTGTGTGTGTGTGTGTGTGTGTGTGTGTGTGTGTATGATATCTCAAGTATTCCTTTCAAAAATCCCATGGGGGCTTTGGTTCCTGTTTTATACATGAAGCTTTGAAAGATATCAAATCACAAATTGTCTCTTCAGTATCTAACGCCCATCTCTATATTTACTAGTTAGAATACACCATCATGTTAGCTACAATATTTTCTGCCCACACTTTCAATCCAGATTGTAGATTTATTGTCTCTAGAGCTCCTGCTCATTTCACAAGATTCATAGGTTTCTGCTGATCCAGGAAAGACTCTTTAAAACGTATTTTAGGGAAAACAAGTTCAGAAGAACACTACAGATGTTTTAAGTAGCAAAAGATTTTGTTGGCACATAACATTAGAAAATTGAGGAAGACAAAATTAAGCAAGATTCTTTCACAGATGATATCTACAAGTCAGTATATATTGTATATCACCCAAAAAAGACAAAAACTTTGAGCTCAAGATTTCCTAAGCATTTCTGATAGAGTTATAATAGTTACGAATATTTGCAAAAATTGTGTGTAGGGAATACAAATTACCAGTGTACTTATTAAACTGACTGTTCAAGATATTAAAACATTCGATGTGAACTGAAAAATGTACAAACACACACACATATTCAGAGAAGAATTAATAATTACAATTTATATAAATCAAGTGCTATTCATAGTGGTAAATCCCTTATTTTTGACAGAGTGCATAAAGTCCAACCTGAGCTGACAGTCAGTAACTGATTGTTATTTTGACTAACTCATGATCTTTATCTTTTCTTTTATTTAGTTTTAATAAGAAAATGTGTGTTTATCGCATGCAGCGTGTTTTAAAGCACATATTCTTCATGGAATGATTAAATTGAACTAATTATCAGATTATAAACCTCCTATATTTATCAATTTTATAGCTAGGGCAAGCTATGTTCTGCAGTTTTCATGAATATAGTGCATCATAATATGCTGTATCTTGTATACATATTTACTGAACTTATTCTTGTGATTAACTGACATTTTGTACCCTCTGACCAACATCTGCTCAACCTATCCCCTCATCCCATCTCTGATTTTCGTTTTCATTTGATTTTCATTCTAGGATAATGAAAGCCGCATGAGAAACATCCCAAATCCTCAGCTTTCTAAAAAATTATATTCTCTTTCAAGAGACAGTTGGTGCAGGCCATTTTAGTGGACTCCTATGTAAGGAATAAAAACACAAAATTTAAGCTGATAACTGAGTAAAGAAGTACTTTCAAGTTGTGATTAGAGTTTTTGCCCAGTGTTTCTGCCACTGTTTTTCCTCCATAATTCAATCCCCTTCAATCAAACCAGAGAATATTTGTAAGACAAAACTTGGGCAGTTTCAAATTTAAATCATTTTTAACAATGATATTTGTGCAGAAGATGAAAGATTTTGCGACGTATCACTTGCACTGTGTAACACATAGTGCTACTACTACAAAATTTTCAAGGTCTTAAGTAAAGGAAGCAAAAACAAAATCATGGAAAACAGTAGTGTTTTTGCAATGCAAGGGAACAGGCTAGTTATACTGTCCTCATTTAAAATGTAGGGAAATGGAGCAAGAATTGTGGCTGCTCAGTTGGTGAAGGCCAAGGCACCCATGGAGCATCAGAGCTGCAGCTCAGTGACTGAATGAACACCTCACTGCATCTCCAGCTGGGAAGCCACAGAACAACCTTCCTCTGAAACCAGCAGACCAGCCCTCAACCATGGTTAAAGGCACTAATGCATCACCTATGCACATGTGGTCACAGTGCAGGTCATACCTTACTGACAGTCCACGGTAACAAGCAGCACCAGCCATTGCAGGAGACAGCCACTGAAAAGGAGAATGGAATTTGCCTTCTGGGGTTTTGATCCCACCAAGGACATAACAAGTATATTACAGGCCAAGGGATAGGAGATTAAAAAAAAAAAAAAAAAAGTGTGTGTGTGTGTGTGTGTGTGTGTGTGTGTGTGTATTCAAGCTCAAAAAATATATGTGGAAATGGAAGCCCACACTTTTCTGTGTAGCCAACATTATTTCATGTGAATTTTAATTTTACTCAACAGAAAACTACAGCCCTCAGCTGTCCTGCTTCCTCGTCATGTTTTGCCTGAGCATGTGTGAAGCCTTTCCTTTGCCCTAAGCTGAAGATCTGCCTTTATTTGTTATTAACTGGCAAGAAAGGTCAAGCACAATTAGGTGTTTTCATTGTACATGCATTTCAGTGATTGGAAGATTGATGAAAGGTGGAAATTGGATGGAAATAGCCAAGAGTAGCCATCAATTAAATGACGTGAAGGAGGGTCAGCCATCCTAACGAGCTGCTTCTTGCACCTGCTTCCTTCCCAGGTTCCAAAATGCTGAGCAATATTTTAGAGGGATTCAATCAGAAGCTTTTAAGCCTAAGTAGTGATGTTTGATAACTCACAACTTAGATTTCCTTTAATGTGTAAGCCATATTCTCTATGCATATTTAGTATGCATCATTGTAATTTAAGATATATTTGTGTGGAGACTGTATAAAATGCTTTAAAATGTCCTGTGAATGAGTTTCTTAACATTAGTATCATCTGAATCTTGTGCAGAGCACAGCTAAATCATCGAAATGTATCTTAGGCATTACAATGCAATTAATATTTTAAATGTCAGCAGTAAAGACTGATCTATAATAATGTGTTAGGGAAAAATTTATAGAAATGTACATCACAGTGACTTTTGTCCTTTAAAATGGACTTTTTATTTCTATTTATGGAGAATCTGTAACTACTGCTTTTAATGTCTTTTTAAAAATGATATATTTACCACTTAGAAAATATTCTTCATTTAAAGTAGAATCTGACTGTCTAAGAAATCTAATTACTACTGTTATTAATTGAGCCAGTTGTCGTTCAGTAAATCTAGACTCTTCGGGGAGGAGCAAATTGACACTGCTTCTCTCATGGTTTAGGAAACATATCCACTTTTCCTTTGATCTCTATGCTTTGTTAATAAAAATGGAGAAGTACATTTCAATTTCTGTGTATGGGTCTTAGCCTAAGTTTTCAGGTTACATGACTTCTGAAGCCCTGTGGTTAACCTTGCAGAAGGAATCGAGGAGGCCCCACTTCTTCAGCCTGTCACACTGCCTGGCACACTTACTCTTCTCCCATGTCCCTTTGTTTTCTTGCTATCTCTCAGAGCCCCCATGGCTCTCCTAAGTTTTCCTTTTTATTTTCCATGCTCCTTTTTTCTTTTTTCTCTCTGTATAACAGCTCCTATTTGGCAGCTCTGATTGGCAGGAGTCAGACTGGAGGTCACTTGTGTGTGTCCTTCTGCAGAATTTAGTGTGTAAGTCCACGCTGAAGGCAGGACTAACGATGTAGGCTACTGCACCTGCTTTGCATTTTTACTCACAGCTACCCAACACATATATCTTGTTAGTTCATAGGTCTTCTCATTTAACCAGAATGTCCTTTAATTTTTAACATGACAAATTACAATTTTTGTGTTTTTATTATGCTGTAATTCTCTGTATTTCCTATTATATATGATTGCTAAATAAATCTATTTGATGGAAATTATTGTGAATCATTTAGTATTTAATCTAAATTTTGGTGGGTTGTTGAAAGGTTGGAAAAATCTAGAGAAACTTGAAGTAAACCAAATGAAAAATTGATTTGAGTTTTATCAGAATATGATTTTGTTTTACTAAGGAAAATTTCCTTAACTATTTATATCATTATGTGCGCACTCTGGGCTAGAAGCATGGTTCATACATAAATATGGAAACTTGAGTCTTTCACCCAGAAATTTCAAGTATTATAGATTAGGTAATCTATTCACACTATAATTCATTCAGAGTAATTAGAATGCTACATATAAAGGTAACAACGTACAAATAAAATGTGCTGTTTCCTTCTTCAGTCCTTCTGGGAAGACAGGATATGAATTGACACAAATAATAAGAAAAATATAATTATTGACTATTTTACATGTACAGCCTCCATGCAATTTATTAACAAATATTACTTCTAATGTTCACAATAATCCCCAAAGTGGTGTTGGTACACATAAAGGAAAGCGAGTTTTGGAGGAGGATGCTTGTCCAAAGCAATGCAGCCCAATGGCACTCTCCACCAATTTGGTTCTTGGTCTCACTGGGAGCCAAAGACCTTCTTTATCTGCTGTATCTATGTGGAGTGGGACAGAAGCACAAAGAAAAGGAAAGCTCTGGAAAAGCTAGATGTGAATGAGGGAACCCTGGAGACTAATGAAGCAATGGGTATCAAGTCAAGGGGAGGATCCAGTGAGTTTCAACTAAATGAACAGAGTCATTGAGAGGCTATATTTCCAGGATGCCAAGAAATTCCCAGACAAAATTGTAAAAATGTATTTAGTCAACAGATACATGGTTCTTAACTGAATCTTTCACTTTAAATGTGATTACACGACAAATTTCCACAAAATATCCAAAAGATTTTTTGTGTCTATTGATTTAGAAATATAAGTTAAATATAAAACACATCTCCTATATTAAGACTTTAGAATTCTTTAATTGCTTTTTCTCAATATAACTACTTGTCCATCATTTGTACAAGCCTTAGACAACAAGGACAATGTTGTCCTTTGTTGTCCTATATTTAAGAGTTGTCCTTAAGAGTTAAAATGACAGTAATAGTGCTATGCATTTCATTAGTATTTCTGTGGAAGAATTTGAAATATTTAACATGCTAATTGTTTGCATGTTTATACTCTATCTTGGACTTTTTAATCAATCTTTCTGAAGGTTAGACAGCTCCCTTTGTAGCTCACATGAATAGTTTTTAATCTTAGATAATTAAAAATCAAATTTATTTCATGTTCTAGTCTATTTTAATCTCATTCCTGTATTACATATTTTCTCTTAGTTTATTTTACCATAAACACCCACTATTCTGGTGAATAAGAAATACTTTTAATCAAAGACTTGTGCATTTTCTCCATAGAACCTCCTTTGTAGGAAATGGCATTATGACCTGTATCACTGCAAGTAAAGGGTTACTTCTTCAGAGGGAAGAATGTTAGAGTAGAAAAAGCCCCATAAAAAAGAAAGAAAGAATACATGAAGTTGTCAGAAAAAAGTGATGGGGAGATATGGAAGGAGTTGGAGGGGAGTGGGCATGGATTTGATCAAAACACCTTATGTGCATGTATAAAATTCACAAGAATTTTTTAAGTTAAAAGGGTATTGAATATTAAATATTTAAGTATTTAAAAGAATTCAAATGTCTAGATGAACTAAAACAGTTCTTCAGAAATCTCTACTCCAGTGCCCACAACACACAAAAGAAAGTCAAAACAACTGAGATACCCCTGGTCAAAAGTTCCCAAAGAACTGGAGGAGGGAAAGAAGCAAGAGGAAAGGGCAATATGAAAGGGACAGGAAGTTCACCACATGGCTTTAATAACTAGGGAAGCACCCTACTTTGCAGTAAGTTCCAAAGCCGACCTTTAGGCCTTGCCTTGAACTGAAAGTAAGACGTACCCTTACTTCCTCGTGGTGTGGCATACACCTTTAATCCCCACACTCAGGAGATGGAGGCAGAGGCAGGCAGATCTCTGTGTGTTTGAGACCAGCTTGGTCTACAAAGCAAATTTCAAGTCAGTCAGGGTTACATAGTCTTAAAAAAAAAAAAAAAAAAAGAGCCTCTGTGAATTTGAGCAGGATGTGGTAGCACACACCTCCAAACCTCCAATCCCAGCTCTCAGGA